AATGAAATACTTTTTACTTATCGAGTTCTGAGGTTTTCGCGATTGTTACACATAGGAAATGAAACTAATTTTTCGGATCTAAATCGTGTATATTCGTGTATGTTTTCTCAAACAAGTTAACGTTTCGGGCCCGTTACAGGTCTCATGGTCACGGCTGATTAGCTAAAAAAATCTGAAAATGCTTTTTCCTCTCATATTATTCTCATATTTTTATTATATCAGCACAGGTAAGAGCACAGGCCTACATACGAGCTTTATCAAACTCCCCATTAAGTCTCAGAATTCTCCTCGTTTCAAAGTTCCGTAACAGTACATTAGCAGCCGTAAGAAGCTGTCCAATCGATAGCTTACTCTCAGAAAGTGGGGGTAATTCTGATTTCATTACAAATTTTTCGTACGTTATTGCGGTTCGCGCATTAAGTACCGCTCCGTTCCTGTAAGTATTTTATAGGCAAATGTACATAAAAATGTATCATTTTAGTCATATGCTGGTTATAATACCAGCATTAAAATTTTTCTGCGCTCCGACCACTCTTTGCGAAACCATATTATGTGTCTAAAAATAAGTTCGAACCACTGAACCCACGTCCTTAGCAAGTGAATTTAATCAGAATTTAAAAAATCGCTAATAACTGTTTTAATACACCATTGTATAAAGCCAGCATAAAGCGATTTACTTTTTCTGTGTTGCAATCTATTTATAGGATCAATGATTGTACCTCAATACGATAAATTTCAGCCTCAATTTAATCACCTCACCTAAACATGTTAGGAGTCAAGCCGCGTAACAAGTTAAGGAAGCAGTACTTCGTTAGGCTGCTTACACAACATCTCAAGTCCTGACCTCATTATTGAGTACTCCACAGTCGTCTCTCAGTGTGCACTCAGCATTATCTTCTGTACGTGCTCTCGGCTCAGTGTGCATGTGACTTTAATGTTTTTTTACTTTTCAGGACGAAGGTATTAATGTTGCGGTTTCATAATAAAGTCCGCCACAAGTACCTACCTAAATAATAGATAAAGATACCATACTGCTGGTAGTTTAAAGATAGTAATGCATTTCCGAATCGTGATGTAACTGAGAAGATAGGGAACAATTCAACATAAGTAAAATAATTAATTAATTTGTTGTAAAAATTTAGTTCTTTAATTTGTTCAACTATGCCATTTCGAAATGGGTCCACTGAAAACCAGCGCTGTGCCTCCATCGTAATATTTGCTGAGTGGACCCTTTTCAGTGCAATACACTTTTAGTCGTAAAATCATAATATTGTACTCGTACACATGTATTGTGCTGAATAAATTTCAGTTCTTTCTTTGTTTCTCATTATAAAAAACAGGTCCTGAATTTTATACTTTTCACGGAATTCTCTACAAGTTTGTAAAAGGTGATGCTACGGCAAAAATGTCGTTTAAACCCAATATCTGTAGCAAGCACATGGACAAAATTTGTAAGATCTGCTGATTTGATCTGTAGCTCAGTTGGTAAGAGCGGTAGCCACGGCGAGGCAACCGAGGGTCAGTCAGGTTCCAGTCTAGTCGGATGGAAGTTTTTTACAAAAAAATTATGAATATCATGGTAGTAAACGCATTATGATATTAATTTGCATTATGAAATTAGTTAATAAAAAGAAATAAACATTAATTAGGTATTTGTCACTCTAGCTACTTCTTCTTATTTTCACCAAGAATACAAGAATACAAGATATTTATTCGCTGAAAAATGTAGTTTACAATGGTGTTATAGTATATTATTATTAGATCGTACATTTCACCAAAACTTGGCATGCGAATATTTTACACAATTCTTATTTCAATGTGGTTAAATTTTACATTTTATGTTATCTATTAAAAAATCATTTATATTGTAGTAGCATTGTGTAACTAACAAATTATGTAATTTTATTTTAAATTGCCTACAATTTAGTTCTTTAACTGCATCTGGTATTTTATTAAATAATTTAGGTGCCAATATAAACATCGTTCTATTGTAAAATTCCAAGGTGGGGCGTTGTTTTGGCCGTATTTCTATTTTGTTCCTTGTTTTCCTGGGATGTCTGGTTTTCACTAGATTAAAGTGCCTGGATTTTGTTTTATATAAACACAGGCCTCGTAAATATACATAGATGGTAGGGTTAAAATCTTTAGTTTTCTAAAATAGGGTACACAGCTTTCTCGCTGGCCCACACCAAACACCAAGATTTTCAGGTTTTCCTTTTAAACAAAGAACTTCTAAAACATGTTACATAAGACTTGTGAAATAAAGGGGATACCCAAAGTAGCGTAAAGGATGTGATGTGTACAAATTCAGTAGTTCAGCAATTTGGCCAATAAAAATCTACGTAGGTGTACCTAGTTGGTGCGAGAAGAGAAATGGTCTGTGTACTTATTTAATTTTGCCAGTTGCCAGAGAACCCGGAGGTCGTTGGATCGGGAGCACCGGGAAATCAGAACCAATTCCAACTGGATTGCAATTTCCTTGCAACTTACACTGTTACCAATTTATTTATGGCCTACGTTAAATTTAATATTAGTGGGAGTGGGATTTTAGTGCTTGTTGCAAGTTTCTTGTTTTTAATTTAACTAATGGGTTTGAGAGGTGACCTCGATTTTATGGATTTTTAAGAACTGCTCGTTTTTGTACGTAATTAATATTGCTCTTGTTTAATTAGTTACATTAGAAAAAAGTAAAACCGTTTTTTATCGAAACTGTCGATCGAAGTAGTTCCTTTTGTACTATTATTGTTATGCCCTTGTGACGCCTATCCACTGATCAAAATAATGCTGTAGTCATTGACTTACAAATAAATGGACGACGGGTCTAATACAAAAACCACGAAAAAAATGTCCCAAGTCAACCTATTTAAACGTAGTGACATGTCAAGGAATATGAAAAAGCTAAAACGTTGAATTTAAATTGTAATGTCATAGCAGTACTGTCTAATTTTGCTTGCTTCGCTGTCAGTCAAACAAACGAAGACTAGAGTGTGAATGACGCTCTGTATACGATTTTAACGCCCTATAAGTTCGGACACTTTTTAGCGCGGACCCGACGTCCATATAATTGTAAGTCAATGGCTGTAGTCTATCAAAATCCACTTTAATGTTAACGTTTAGTGGTAGTTGTCATTAAACATCCTCCAGATCTCCGTCTGTTTTTTTTTATGATACCAAGCGACGGTACGAACAAGTCGTGCGCCTGACGGTAAGCGACACGCCTGTCCGTAGCAGTTGCAGTACCACTCAGAGTTTTAAATCACAAAGATCTTAGTAGAGCTCCTTGTGAAAAAATTTGTCCAGGGGAGTTCTGGAATCTTACCTATTTCTGCCGCCAGACAGCAATGTCAGCATTACTGTGTGTCCGTTTTGAATGGTAAGGGTGCTGGTGAAATTACAGGTACATGGGACTTGTCAACTTATGTTTCAGGGTGACGGGCGCAGTGACAGTGCCCCTCAGATCTTTGCGATTTAAAGCTCCAAGTAGCACTGTAACTATTATGGACCCGTTCGTCCCGTCACTTCACTATTCACTATTCAACCTTGTCCCTTCCTCTCCTTTCCATCAGCGGACCACCCGTGCCGGACTGCGTTGCCACAGTTGGACGGTCAGTTCAATACCGTCCCGCACTAAAAAGTTTGGCAATTCGTTTTTATGCCGAACCACCAAATTGTGGAACCAACTCCCGGCGCATGTATTCCCTCCCCTCTATAACATCGGGTCCTTCAAACGTAGTGTGAAGAAGCATTTGGCCAGACCGGCAAAATGATTGTGACGGAGTGAAGATATTTGTGTTTTCCATCCGTTACTCTCATCTCTGGACTGTATTCGCACTTTCCATCAGGCGCGGTGCAGTCATTTTGCCGAGTCACAATAAAAAAAAAAAAAAAAAAAAAACTTGATATTATAAACAAAAGGATCTTTGTGATTTAAACCTCTGAGTGGCACTGCAACTTTTTTTAATAAAATATCAGTGCGCATTT